ATATATATATATATATATATATATATATATATATATGTATATATGCAGGAAACATATCGTGTCTCTGATAAAAGAAGCAATAATTTATTAGCGTAAAAGTACAACCAAAAAATACTTAGGCGAGAATATTGGTGACATGTAACTTGATTTAACAGGTTTCAACAGATACACATACGCACATATAGACAAATATATATATATATATATATATATATATATATATATATATATATATATATATATATATATATTAATCATTTAACCACAATCAAGGCGTTAAAGCCACTAATTATAATATTTTCAAATGTACTATGACGTAAAATCATAATGTTACTTCGTTTTGATAGTGAATAATAACACTATTTAGTAAATTACTTTCTTTACTAATGTACACTGTTCCTTAAATTGTATGGTAGACATTAATTGGTCATTATTATTTTATACAAGTCCCGTGTTATAGTTTTACAGAGTAAGAGGCCGAGTGTATGTTGGTTATGTGCAGACGATAACAATTAACCCTAGACATGAACTAGTTACGATTGTAGTGATCGGGGAAGACATCCTTTTGGGAGTCGGTTCCATAGATCAGTGGTTCGCTGCAAGAAGATGGTTGAGTGGAACTTACTTCTCACCAATGGAATACGGAATGAATGGCGCTGATTCGCTACAATTTGCGTAGCATTGTGGGTCTGAGTGCAATGAGAGGCTTGCAGCGTTTTGTCTGTGAGAGTGTGGGGGTTGTAGCATGGGAAATAATTTGTCACGCACAAGGATGTGGAGAGGCTTTTGGACTCCATCAAGACTAGAAAGTGTGAACTGGGCACAGATCCTACCCAGATACGGCAGCAGTATTCTATTTTTCTGTCTGATCTGGCTCTCGTAAATGTAGAGGATAACACAAGGGGTCAGGCACTTATTGGAGCAGTACAGGGAACCGAAGATCTCCTTGAATATTTAAGAGAAGAATTTTATTTCAATTGGATATTGCGGTGGTTATTCTAGACATCTGATTAGACCACTCTACGATGAGTTGCCTGCGATGACTATAAGCGATTTGATGGGTACTTGCTTGATGATATCCTGGATCTTCTGGACGAATGTGGTTGTCATTGTAATGTATAACGCTTTAGAAAACTTTTTCCCTAGACATCGAAGAAGATAAACCATCTTCAGAGTCATCCAATAAGTCCTTGAGCTTGAACTCAATGTATATAAATATTTCCATTTTAATTGTCTCGATGAACTTTCCTCTTTGGAACTTAGTTTTCAGGAATGTAAACAAGGTTTCATCATTTTATAGTTAAAATTGATCGATGTAACTGTTTACTACGTGTTTTTCCAGTCAAATTGATCTTCAAGAATTTAAATGCAATATCAGTAGTTATTCTTCTTAATTCCTGTTCTATTATTGTTTTCTTTCCTTAATAATCTTCTTTTCTTCATGTTTTCTCATCCGCTTACGTCTTAGTGGTTTTACTGACTTGCTTATGGTGAAGTGTTTAAAAAAGAAATATGACCATGTACACACTTTTATTTCTTTTGTTTTTTTTTTATAATTAATACTGGGTTTTTACTGTGGGAATTAATGGGTTAAACAGAATTCCTCATGTACTTTCTGCATAAATAAACTATTATATAAAAAATATATACTTTTTCTAAGTACCTCTAGGAATTTAGAATAAATGTATATGTCTGGTAAATAGATATGTGTGAATTACTTGAAAAGAGGCTTACTTTAAATTTGGCTTATAAATTTGTTTTATATTTTATACTCGATTAGAATGGGTTTCGCCAGGTTAGCTTGCCTTAGACACACCACTGCTGCTATAGCCGCAGTACTTGTGGTGCCCGAACAGCCCTGACAGATTACGGAACAAATGGTATGGCATGATACAGCTATATATGGGGAGTATTTTAACAGAGGACGGAAAATGTTATACTTACATTCGAAGACGCGTTGACATAATAAAAGATGACTTCCAAAAGATAAGCTAAGTATTAAGAAACATAATTTTTTTAGAAACAATAAAAAGTCTGTCGGTCAGTTATTTAGTATCAATGTTCTTATATGAGAGTAAATGCTGAACAATCTTCTCACAGATGAAGAAGAGACTTGAATCAAAATGTGGTTCTACAGAAAGATGGTGAGAATGCAATGGACTAAATGAAGTTTTAAACCTACATCACGAAGAGACAGTTGAAATTCTTAGGGCACATAATGAGGAGAGAGTGCTTGGAAGATTGGACACTCACAGGACTGATTGAAGGCAAAATGAAGCAAAGAAACCCTAGAGAGATTGTGTAAATGAATGGCTGAATAATTTTAGGACTAACAACAAAAAGACAAAATTTATTGTGCGCTACAAAGGACAGGAAGTTGTGGAGAGCCCCGATTGCCAATGCCCTGAAGGGATACAGCATATAAAGAAGAAGAATCCTGTAAATTAAGTTAATAAAGAACCTATTTAGCCGTTTATCCCTGACATCACCGAGTTGTCTTTCGGTGAAAATACATGTAGCTAAATGTCTGTGTAGAATAACGTTGTTTTATTATTTCATATGATGTCTCGCATTTGAGAAAC